TTGGGAGGATTCAAGGACAACTGATTAGCACCACTCTGTGCTGCGGGGGAGGCCTTCCATGGGAAGCACAAGCAACCTCTACATATTTTGCAAGGAAGATCCTTCCCCAAATGGACAGCAAATTTTCTCAGGCCACCTGGGTTTCTGAGCTGCCCTTTGGAGAGGCCTGGTCTTGGGGTTGTACAATTTAAAGGTGGACATTGGGGAGGAGCATCAGCAGAGGCTGATTGGCCTGGTACTGGCAGATGCAGCCTCCCTGACCACAGTGCAGCAGCACCAAAGGCAGCGTCTGAGTGGGGCCTGCTTCCTACCGCTCCCCGTTATATGTCACAGTGGCCCTGCTGTGCAAATTCTATGGGTCCATTTGGGCTTCCTTAACCGGGAGAGCCACAGGCAGCTCAGCTGACCCTTGGTCCCAGGTGTACCTGGCCTGGGCCTCCCTCACAGTTCATGGGAGGACTGACTCCCTCCACCCTCCTCAGCTCTTAAGTGCCCAAAGGACAAACCCAGCCAAATCCCAGCCAGCCAGGAGACAGGCAGGAAAACCAAAGAAATGCAACCCAACAGGATGAGAGACTGCAGGGGGGTGACCAGTACTGGAACCCTGAGTTTCCCTTTCCAACTGCTCACTTAACCCAGGGAAGGACCAGCCAATGACCAATCGTTGGGAACTGACACACAAAACCAAAAGGAAAGCCCTGGTCATGTCACTGTGGATCATGGCACTTGCTGCAACAGCTACTGCAATTTATAGTGTGATGGAGGCTCTGGATCAGACCGTTGGGAGCATGGAGAGGGTGTCTCTGATGCCATTTTGTGAGTCCTAGGTCCTCCCACTTGTCCCTCCCTGCCCCTCTGTCACCCTGCTTTCTGCCAGCTCTCTCTGTCCAGGTAGGTGGAGATGGTGGGGTGGGAAATAGAGATATCCTACAGCTCAGGAGGCTTCCTTGTGCAGGTCTGTGTGGGCATCAGAAACAAAACAAAACTCACCACCATCTTGTTCTAGAATGTGAAAAGAGAAACAAGGAGGAAAGGTTTTTGCAGGCCTCTGGGTGATTACACAGGCAGGAGGGGACTCTGCTCAGCGGGAGTGAGTGAGAACGTGGCTTTGGGTGTCAATGTGGATGCCCACCGCAGGGGTTAGTGGCCAGCAGGCTGCATGTCCCTGAGCACCTGACTCCTCAGTTGTCTGAGGGACTCTGTACCTTCTAGGTCCTGCTAGGTCCTGGCTGCTGCTGTGCCTTCCCCTATGCTCCTCCTTCTCTCTCCATCCGGCAGTGACCTTGCCACTGCCACCGTGCCCTGCTGTCCCTCTCTTCTCAGTCAGGGTGTCCTCTGCTATTGCTCTGCTTTATCAGGGCACGTGGTCTCCATAAGGTGTCATTGCGTGGTCCACCTCATGGCCGCCCAGGTACCAATGCCAGCCCAGACCCCAGACTGAAGCTGCTGTGGACAGGCTGGCAACTGCTTCCTTTCTGTCCCTGTGTGCCCAGTATAGGCAGCATCCCCTGGCACTCAAGAAGAAGATGAGGGAGGTGGTAGCCGCACAGGGAATGTGCAGACACCGTGTTGGTTTCTAAAGCTCAGCTGCCCAGTGCTTGGGAGTCCTGTTCTTTCTGTGCCCCTACAGGGCCCCTGCTTCTTCCCTCAACAGCACAGTCCTCCTCCCGGCCTCCTGTCCACCTGAGCGCTCAGAACCCCGGGGCCATGAGGCAACGTGCTAGAGATTGCGGGCCCTTATCCCTATGGACCAGGCCGCCCATGGCCACAGGCTGTGCTAGCACGAGGCAGGAGGCCCTGCCAGGTTGTCTCTCTGCCTGGGACTGGAGGGCAGAGTCTGTGTCTGCCTTTGCTCCTTGAAGACTGCGCTGAGGTTGCAGCAGAGACCCAGGAGTGCCTGTGTCAGGTCCCTAGGAGAGTTGTCTGGGCTCAGGGAGGTGTGCAGCTTTGGCACTCACCTTTCTGCAGTGGAGTAGCCACAAGCACCCTATCATCAGTATTAGTACCAGCATGCACGCATCCAAGTGGTAAGGGTTGATGTTGGGGAACTGTGAGCCTTGATTTCCGGGACCCGCCACTGCCGCATTGGAAAGGTCAGGTGGCTGCACATTGCAGAGAGAAAACACCAGGAGTGTGGGCCTGGGGCCTCTCGACGCCCACTGCTGAGCACACATTCTAGACTCCCGTCAGCCCACTCCCATTCTCTGCAGGTTGCCACCTGGGCGGAACACAGTACTAGAGCCAACTATGCTCAGCGCCCACCATGGAGGTGGGACACACCCGCCCCACTGGCCGTGCTCAGAGGCTAAGCCAGAGCCCAGTCAAGGAAACCAGAATCCTTGAGGAGTGACCACCCCAGCCCCAACCCCAAGCCCTGGCTGACAGTGCAGTGACACACAATTGTACACTTACACAGATGGGTTTCTGGGGGAGTGTGGGGCCCCTTGAGATTTGGGGGTTCAAGGGCAGACCAGGAGACCCAGGATCATTGCACATGAGGGCCCCCCTGTCTTATAGATTCTGAGCTGTGGGCTGACAGCCTCAATCTCTCTGCACCTCCGTGTCCACATGTGAGCAGGAGGTGAGAGAATCGTGAGGTGTGGAGGGTCATCAGAGTCCTGGCACAGGCCAGGTCCATGTGGGGCTGAGAGAAGGGGCTGCCTCTGGCTGTTGTTCTGAATTTGGGGTGAGTGGGACTCAGGTGGGACCCCACGCAGTCTCTGCTCAGAGCAGCTGGCGAGGGTGCGGGAGAGAGGTGTGGTGCCCAGGGGCAGGATGGCAGATAGAAAGGCAAGGTCAGAACTGCTCACCTGCTGTACTTGGGCCAGCCCTGTGTTTCTCCTGAGGACTTTCCTCATGGGCCTGATGACAGACGAGCTGTGCGTAGGCGGAAACCCTGAGGGGCTGATGCGCATCGTCTGGCCAGTCTGAGCGGATGTGCAGACACAATGCAGACAACACAGAGATGTCAGCTGGTGGGGACCCTCACAAGCAGGTACAAGACACCGGGCTCTGGCAATCGGGCACCAAAGCCCTGCTCCCCAGCACACTCGTCTCCAGCCTATTGCTTGCCACTGCCATGCCTCACCGCCCTGGGCTACGGTGCCCGGGTGATGGGGGACATGGAAAGTGCTTGTCACTTTCCTTCCCCGTTGTCCCTTGCTGAGATGACTCCTGATCCCTCCAGGGCCCTGATAGCCTGTCCTGAGACTCATCCTCTGTCTTGACTCCCAAAATGACGCCTTCCCAGGGCAGGCTTCTGGGTAGCCCAGAGGGAGACCATGTACTTACCCTGTGACCTCCACAGTCCTTGCTGCTGATCTTGAGCCCGTTGCTGATGAAGCTGGCACCGTTGTTCAGGCTCACTTCAACAGAGATCTCGCTAAACACAGAAAGGACAGATGGGGACCACAGGTGCAGGTCGGCACAGCTCTTGGTTTCTGCTCAAACCAAGGCCACAGCTCTCCCTACTGTGATGGCTTGAACATCAGGCATTCAGGGCTACTGGAGTGCGGAAGGCCTGGGGAGGAGACCCCACCCAATGTCCCACGAGGTCCACCTCAGTGATGAGCATGGTGAGGGACTCTGCGTGGGGTCAGATACTTTGTGGTCACGAGCTCAGTAACCAGGGAGGCTGTGTGGTGTCACCATCCTGTTGTGCTGGCTCCACTCTGAAGGCTGCTGGGAACATGGAGCCCACCTTGGTCCCTCATCTTCCAAGTCTGTCCTCAGCATGGGCTGTAGCACAGCAGATCCCTGAGCTCATCGGGGGATCACCAAGATGGGTTGGTCAGGACGATTGCCCTGAAGCCTCCCAGAGCAGGTCACATGCTGCCCAGCAGAGGTGCCCCACATTCTGCATCTCTTGGGGTCAAAATGCCTGCCTGTCCCTGTGGCACTTACTTGGCTGGTACCTCTATCTTCATTCCCGGACACTTTATGCTGGTGTCTTCCACCTGGGTGGCTTTTTTATCTAAAGAAAATGAGACAGGAAGAAAGTCAGTGGACGTGCCCATCCACCCCCGCTCCCGTCTGCCTGCCCTTGGCTGGTGCAGCTCTGCGGTGCAGATGCAGCGTCTCCTCTCTGCCCTCTCAGCAGCTTCCCACACCAGCAGGGGCAATGACCTGCGTTCAGTGGGATCTGGCTCTCCAGGGCTTATGTTTGTGGGGTGGCGGGAAAGCAGGCAATAAAAAAACACAAACAAATTAAATAAATTGCCTAGAATTGAAACTGAGACATAAATGTACAAGGTTGGGACACGGAATGGAGGGATCAGGCAGGTGCTAGGAACAAGGTGATCTGTGCAGTCTCGATGAAAATTGAAATATTTATGCATTCAATGAATTCATGCTGGTATTTGCTTCAAAAAATTGATTATCCTATTTTGGTAATTACTGATATGAAGAGATGCTGTTTCAAGTTCTTTTTTCAATAATTCTATTTTTTTTACATTTTTTGAACATTTACATTAAAATAAGTTATTTGTGAGGATGCTATTCTGGAGCTGAGTGTCATGAGTGAAAACCAAGGTAAGGTCCCAGGGCAGAGAGGTTTGCCCTGTGGGAACAGCAAGTGTCAAGCCCCTGAGGTTGTCCTACCTGACCTTGTTGCATACGTAAGATTGAACGTGGAACAGAACTCTTGGTCCTAGAAGAGTTTGGGTTTTAATCTAACGACAATGAGTCTGTTGAGGGGTGAGCCATCTCAGCACAGGCTTTAGACCTCTAAGAAATAAGACCTACCCTGGACCGCATATGGGTATAAAAGCAAAGAGAGTTCAAGGATGACATTCAGGTTTTGACCAGATTGACTGGGTGATGGTGATACTATTTACCGACATAGGGAATTTCTGAGGATGGCTAGTGATTTTCTTCCTTTGCATTTGTTTACTGTTATTTTATTTGAGCATGGCAGTCACAAGACTCAAAAGAGCACCCTGAGTTGTGGATCCTGCTTACCTGAGTTCCAATTCTTTCCACCCCTGAACTGTGCGGAAGTGGTGAAGGCCCAGCTGCCATTACAGTCTGACTTACCCCTCCACACACCCTGGTCAGCTCCACAGGGAGCCACTCCTCCATCATGGAGGAACACCCGATGTGCGAGTGTCGCCAGATAACAGGCTTCCATATGTCGCAGAGCTTACTTAGCGCAGCTGTTACATTGCTCCCGCTTCACAGTAGTGAAAGTAGAGCAAGAAGGGAACTTTCACATGGTCAAGGGCACACAGGAATGTGTGCCTGTGCCACATCTCAGGACCTGGATCTGGTGCTTGGCCGCCTCTCTCAATCGAAGGTGAATATACCCTCCTGGGAAAGCTACCGTGCACCTGGCATGTACTCAGAGCCCAGGACTGCTATAAGTTCCACCTGGCCGACTAATGAGATTGGGGTCCTTGTCTCTCAGGGAAAGTGAGAGATGAGGAAAGCGCAGGGGACGCAACTCTGAGGGAAGACCCTCCTCACAGGGAGCAGCCCTGAACCCAGACCCTTCGTGGCTCTGGGGATGGATGGATCCCACTCACGTCCCTCCTTCCACTCTCGGTGCTGCCTCTATCCTCCCAGCACCCATAGGGAATGGGCGTCAAGTGTTTGGAGGCATGGTGCCTGAGGGAGACAGCGTCTGTGGGAAATCTGTTACTTGTACAAATCAGAGAGGTACTTACCGAAAAATACGGTGTCACTTATTTGAATTCTGCAAAGAACTTCTTTTTTGTTTTTGGTGTTATGAAAGCCTCTTCCAAAGATGCCTACATCATAGTTTTCTGCAAGGGCAACATCCAAAGATGTGTGTAAGGAGGGACTGAGTTCTGTTGTCTGCTGATCTCATCACTATGGCAGTCTACCCCCAAATGGAGCCCCCAAGGGACTCCTGCAGGAGACGCTGTTCTGAACCAACATCTGGGTGTCTCCTGTGGCTCACCTGGTGTTTCTGAGGGGCCACTGTGAGGAGGCTGGTGGAGCTCTCGGGCACTGTCCCCACAGCTGCTACCAGCACAGCCCATTCAAGGCTCCACCTGGTCCCAACCATGAACCAACCCATCGTGGCTTTCCAATCTCTAAGTCCTGAGGCTCCCTAAGGGGTGAGGCAGTACTTTCCATCCTCTACCAGACTGCCACCATAAAGGAGAGTGGAGCAAGACAGTGCAGGCTGCACCACTCTGCCTCTTGCCTGAAGTGAGCAGACTGGTCTGGCTGCTTGTGAAATTATTTTACGTTTGGGGGTCTGTTTCTCTTCCCTATCTTTTTGTGTGCCTATGGCAGACTGAGGAGCTGAGGAATAAGGTGGGACCCCGGGGAGACAAGCCAGGAGCAGCTGATCCTGTACCAAAGAATACCCCTTCCCTTAGCTGTGAGGGAACAGGATTGTTGAACGTGATTGTTCTTCCACTTATTGATCCTCTGGGGCCTCCTCACTTCCCTGCCCAGGGATTCATGGAAAGCCCTTCCTTCTGCTGTGTGGATAATGACTTGCTAAGGGACATCTGTCCTAACCCTTGATTGGACACTGGGGATCCCCTCCCCTGGAACAAATACCAGGGGACACAGTGACGGCAGCTGTGGGTTTTGCTGCAGGGATTTACACAAGATGCTGGGAAGGTCTTCTTGCTGTATGTCAAGGTCACGATTCTCCACTGGTGCCTCAGTCTCATGTCTAGCTGATTCCAGTGCCCTGAGCTTGATTTGCCCAGTTGATACAGTCAATTAATGGAGGAACCAGTCCTAGAATTGCCAGCACCACCTTGAACTTGGCAGTTTGGATTTCTCTTAGATCAAGCCCTCCTCCAGCCATCATCAGTGTGATGGTTGTAAATTCTATGCTTTGAAGAAAGTAGACTCTAGGGCTGTGGGCAAAAGTGTGCCTGCTGATTAGTTTTGTAGGCCTTCAAGTGTCTTCAAAAACAATGGGATTCCATGTTTGACTATCGGTACATTTCCCCTGAAATTTCAGATACAATTCTTTTCTGGAAAATAGAACACCTGTCATTGTTGCGTTTGTGGTTTTGCATGTCAGTACGGCTGGGGATGGAGCGACTGCCTTCAGAGGCAGGCTCTCTCAGGGACCCATGCCCTGCCTACCCCTCACACCACAGCCAGACATCCTTGGACTGACATGGCTCACTCGTCTTGCTGATGTCCCTGTGTGGTCCCTGAGCATACCTGCTGGCAGTGTCCCTGTCCTAACAAGGTCCTGAACCACAAGGAGCAGGAGGAGTGCCGAGTCTTTGAAACAGAGAGAGCAGGAACGTCAGCTGAGTGTCCTGTGCTAAGAAATCAAGCATGTGGTACACTCAGGTGGGCTGATGTCCCGAAGCCTCAGGCACTTTCTCACACAGAGTGGCTCAGTGCAGCTTCTCTACCCACTTCTGCCAGGCTGCACCCTCACTGCTCACTCTTCAGCAGGGCCTGCCCCCCATGACAAGGCTTCCCAGTGAGCCTGGAAAGAGCAGTTGGGGTATCTCTGCCCACCTCCTCATCCCCACATGCAGTTTGGCACAGCCTCTTTGGGAGAAAATCCACCTCTTGGCCCCCTTTGAATCTGTTCTCTCCTATTGCGGCTATTCTAATTCTGTTTCACCCCAGGGAAGTTCTCAAATGCCCACGAAGAGGTCCTAACCAGGATGTGTCTGGGGCAGGGACTGTGTCCCAACTTATCAGGAAGTATCTGAATATCAATCAAGGACACCAAGGAAAGAGGTTTGGCTTTGCATACTTTGAAAGGGTGGACAATCTAATGTTCCATGTGCCCTCGTTTATTAAAAATGCCCTTGGAAGTGTATGTAGATGGGAGGTAAGCATATAGGATCACCTATTCATGGTCATTATATTTGGTAGAGTTCCAATGGGAGAGAGTGGCGAGCAGCTGCCACCAGGATGCAGGGGACCGAGGGGCAGCTGTGATGGTGTGTGTCTTCACAGGGTCTGTGTTATGCAGTTGTGTGTGTGCATCTGTGAGACTCACACATAATATACCTGCGATGTGAAGATGCGTGCATTTCAAAAAGACAACTCGGGAAAATTGGTCCCTTGTTTATCATAATCAAAATGACAAAGTTGGGGGTAGAAGAGCCTGATGACTCTAATTTGCTTTGGAAACCTTCAAAAATAAGACGGATTGTTGGGAGTCAGAAAGAGAGGGAGCTAGATAGATAAGTGATAATCGGTTAGCTGTTAATGGAGAAATCCAGTTAGAGGATCTCCTGTAGAATTGCTTCCATTTGCTGTAGGTTTGAAAAATGTGCCGACTATAAGATTCAAAGACAATTAGTTTAAATGAGAAAGCAAGCCTTACAGTTAGGCAGTAGTCATGGTATTACTACTTGACGAGTGAAGAATGAGAGGCATCTGGGCAGAGCAGGTGGCGGCAGTTGACTAGAGGAAAGTTTAGAAGGACAGAGCGGGGTTTGCTGGGCCAGGCTGGCAGGGAGTGTGGTGAGGGCTCCTGTCACCTTGGCTGGGTACGATTGGTCTCCGCACCTGTCTGTGTTCACATGCTGCTCAGACACTCCTGCCTGGGTGTCTCCCGGGACATGCCCAGAGAAACCAGGCTGCCAGTTGCCTGCACGGGTGGGGACTCAAAACAAGGAAAGACCCATGTGTGCTGTGGGTGGTGGGGCAAGTGTGTTTCTAACCCAGCCCACTTGAGGCACTGCAGGTTACAGGTTCAGAGAAGTCAGGATGAGTCCAGAGACTCTTCCATCCTGGAAGCTCTGTAGCCACGCCCTCCCCGCCTGGGCAAGCATGGGCAGCGGAGCCATGGTCAGTCATGGGAATATGAGCGCCACGACTCTTCCTTAAGTCTGCCTGCTTCTATTCTGAGCTGGTCCCTTCACAGTCCACTGGCCTCCCTCTCTCACGGAGCAGAGAGTGGGTACTGATCTCTCTGCCTCTTGGAGACAACAGAGGAGCTGGCAGATCTGGGTCCCTTGCTTCCTGTGCTGGCCACAGGCAGCAGAGCTCAGCTGGAGCAGCCTTCTGTCTGTCCCAGGTGAGGGTGCTCCAGCCTTCCCAGCAAGGACACAGAGGCAGAGCCAGCTGTCTGGGTCAGGATGTGGTGGGTCAGGCTGTGTGCTGTTCCCGGGAAGGGCGTGCTTACCCGTGGGGCTCAGCTGTGTACTCCAGGGCTGCGGCAGTACAACCTGCACTCAAAACCCTTACAGAGAGAGGCCTTGTCGCCTCAGGCGGTACCTGGACGTCCTCACTCTAATGCTGTGGGACCCTCTGGGGGAGCAGGCACCCTTGTCTTGGTCCAATTCTCAGGAGAGGCCTTCCTATTAAGCCTGAAGCTCATGTAGCTGGGAGTGATTGCGTGGAGGGACATTGCCCTCATTAGGACACTGGACATTGAAAATTTTCTTCATACACTCATGTTTCAACTCTATATCAGCCCTGTGCTTCTGGGGTGATCCCAAACTGGCTCTGAAATATTTTACTTGTCAGATGTTCTTCGGTTTCATTGCTACTGTATTATTTTTTCCTCATTTTTAAATTAAACTTTTGATTTTGTGATTAAAAAAAGAATTATACAATCTTATTGTGCTAATCACTTCAAGTTTTATATGTCAAACCATAATGTGATATACCTTCACCTTACATAGAACTGTATGTCAACTCTAGCTCATGAATACTGGGAATAAGAGCATTTACACGTGTGTATGTATATCACACATTTAAACGACACAATACACTACATCCATCACACACATCCAAGCACAATGTACAACACACACAAGCACACATGCCTCTGTTTAGAATAGAGACTAAGCTCTTACCTCCCACACAGTAATCTGTCGGTCCCACACTTGTCAGCTCAATGCAGGACTTAGCTGCGAGCTGAAACAGAGAGTTGTTCGGGTCAGGTAAGGTGAAGAGTGGGCATGGTAAGAACCTCCTCATCCCACCCCCAAACCACCCCTCTCTCACTGAGTCAACGATGTTCCTGAGATCATAGAATCCACTGTCCACACCAACCACGTGCTCCTCGCTGTCTGCAATTGCCAGGAGCTACAAGGAGGAGGAGAAAACTTGGACCCACAGCAGGGGTGAGGACCAGCAGGACACCATCCCAGTGTTTGGGTTCAGGCTTCATACTATGTGAGACACAGTGCCCCACCCTGTCCTCGCCAGCAGCCCAACTTTCTGGAATGGAAAGTTCTACCACCTGTTCCCCAGGTGGGCTCATACAACACAGTTACTCCTTTCTGCAGTGGTCACATGTTGTCCAGATATTTGGGGTGAGTGTGTTAGAGAACCATCCTCTGGGGGGCCCTGCCAAAGCTTTCCACAATGAGACTTCTCAGTTGGCTTCTGTTCTGAATTACCTGATTTTTCAAGTAGTTGTTGACACCCACAACGTAAACAGTCCCTCCCAGTTGTCGAGTCCTCTGAGCCTAAGACAAAGACCGTGTTAAGTGCAAATCACTAAACATGTGGAGCAAAGGCTGGTCAAGGTGGGCTGGACTCACTTCATTCTTGGTAGCCTGAAAGGACTCTGGCCAAAGTGCTCCATCAATTAGGGAGACAACCATGGAGTGCACTTTCTTTTCTGTGGGAGAAGCAGGAGGTCCTGGTCAGTAAAGGTGCCCAGAGTGACCTGCCACAGGTGTGAAGGCCATGCACTGCCCCCGCTTTCTCTCCCGGGAGAAGCTGACACAGCTTCTAGCCCTGGGGACACACAGGCCAGCAGGAGCATCAGCAGAGGGAAGACGATGAAGGGGAAGGAGGCAGCTCCAGCCATGGGAACACGGCAGAGTGTGGTCAGCAAGGGGAAAATCAAGCTCTTTTTGCATAAGCAGAGTCTTGTCTGCCCGAGGTGCCCCCTGGCCTTTCTCCCTTTTCCACAAGCTCAATGTAGGTCAGGTGCCTCATACTTAATAAACACCAGGAATGTACACCCAGGAGCCCACAAGTCTCAGAATCATCCAGGAAGCTCAGTTTCCCCTCGTGCATGGATGAGGACTCTGGAGTACATATTGTCAGGAAACTTGCACAAGAGTCAGTTCCAAGTGGGGGCCACCAGACTGCTGTGCTTCGGCCGGACTGTCCAGGATCTGACTGTCTCGAAGTCAGCAGAACTTACCTCCAGAGTTTGCTGTGGAGATCTGCTCATTGACCTGCAAAAACAGGAAGGCATGATGAGAGGACTCAGTGATATTCTGAGCACTTGCTAAAGCAGGAAATATTCTTAGAGCTCTGGCTGTACCGCTTTAAATCCTTCCTGCATGTTTGTGGCTCCGGTAGGCACTGTGTTGCGTAGTTTGTTGAGACCGTCTTCGATTAATTTTCTAAAAACAATAAAATGGAGTATTGAGGTCGGAAGAAGGGTGGAGTGTTCTCAAACAGCCCCATCTGTGCTGGCACATTCTGCACTGAGCAGGCCGACCTGGACGAGGGAGGCGACTGTCAAGAAACCGAGCCATGGGCCTTTGGCCCAGGGTCTTTGGAATTGATTTTGTCTGTACTCATCGCTATATCAGGTTCATCGACCAACAGGCTTCATGAAGGGCCTGTCTGACCAACAACAGGCAAAGTGGGGAGCAGTTGTGACTGCGCTAGTGTGACCCCGGAACTCACATTAGGACTGCCAGGAATGCCAGCACCCCAGTGGTCCCAAGTGGGACTCATCACCCTCTACCAGGCAAGGCTGAGTTTGGTAAGGGTCCCCCTGGCAATACCCGTGCCCTGTCCCTTCCTCCCTGCCCTGGACCGCTGAGTATGCCTTAGAACCCACAGCCTCCCTCCCTTCAGGATTGGATCTGAAGGAAGCAGCAAAGCTGCTTTGAGTGCTGAGTCCCTACTTCAGAGCTCCTGACAGGGAAGACCTAAGGCCAGAGAAGGGGCCATAAGGGCCACCCATGCAGGCAGGGGAGCAGTGAGCTGCAGATGGCCACACTTTTGTCCTTTCCTAGCTCTGCTAAGGTAGAGCAGGTGGGAGTGGGACATAAGTGGTGGGGGAGCTGGATCAGGCTGAGCCAAGTGAAGATCTGAGCCGGCACAGCAAACCTGGAGTGGCAGAGATTGTCTAGAAACACAGGGGCTGCCAGTGTCAGTGCCAGAGTTATCAGAGGGGCTGGGAGTAGATGCTGGGGGCACAGGGTGGTCTCTGAGCAGAAGCCAGCCCCGCCCAGGCAGCAAGCCTGTGGGCTCCTGACTGAAACTCAGGACTCCTCTGCCGAGTTTTCCCCTTGGCCTCTGTCTCCCCCTCCCACCACCAGTAGGTCTGCCTTGAGGGAGTGAATCTGAACTTACTTGTCCGAGGTGAGCTTTAGGACGGTGTGGCCCCTTGTGGAGAAGGTGATGATCGAGACCCGCATGTTCGGACTGGGGAGGAAGCACGTGTACGTGAGAGTCATAAACAGAGGTTCAAATGACCCCATGAGCAGCCAGGGAGTGGACACCTGCCTGTCTTCATTTCCCTCTAGCCTGTGACCCCTTCCTGAGTTCCAGAAGTTACCATAAATTTAGTAAAGGATTCTGAGGCCAGCAAATGTGTGGCGCTCCAGGGAGACTATCAGGGTGGTGTCCTGCTCTATCCCTAGATCCCATCCTCTACCTTTCTCTCTCTCTCTCTCTCACACATACACAGAGTACACACACACACTCACACACAAACACATAAGTGCATGATTCATGCCACACACACACTACGTGAAGGTCCCTATGCTTACTCATGAGTAGCCTCCTTCTACTGACTCTATTTTTGGAACCACATGACCCTTCCCTCCTGGTCTATGTTTCCTTCCTCCCCCCATCTAAGAGACATTATTGTTCCTTTTGCCACTCATTTACATACCTGAGTCCCTTTCCCCTCCCTGCCCACTGTCTTCTGGGTCACCGGCCCCCTTTGTCTGCTAGAGGATTGCTGTCCTAGTCCCTGATGAGCTCCATGTAACGGTAGCTCTGTTTCCCACTCATTTTACCCAGAATTATCAGATGTCTTGGAGCACAATCCTCATCACCCACACTCAGCCCAAGTGTCATTTGTTAGTTCCTATTGCTCTCTGCAATCCTGACCCCTTGGCTTGGCTTTATGAGTCCTTTGGCCTTGACCCCAAGCTGTCCTGTCCCAGTCTCAATTGTACCCCTTTTGTGAGTTAACCCCCTCTCCCCTAAACAGATCACTCCCTCCACAAGAAGTCTCCTTGATGCTTCTTGTTACCCTGTTTTTCCTCATTCTTAACTGTCCTAGTTCAAATGTCCATATCCTGGGGAAAACCATCCTTGAATTTTCTCTTGCTTTTTCTTTACAGTTGCCCTGAGGGTCCTTTGCCATTTTTTTTTGGAACTATTTAAATAAGTTTTTTTTTTACAGTGTTACTGGTTAGCTGGTTTCTAATCTGTGACATCCTCCAGTCAGTTAGTATTTCCTACACTGGCTTGATACCAAGACTGGAAACACCTGAAGTCTACAGGACCTTTGGAGCCCATGGAAACTGAGTAAACTGCATTTTTGACTGGTTCAGAACTCCACCCGGGGCTTCGTGCTGCTGCCCACTGGGTCTAAGCAAACAGGCTCTCTGCCTGGCATTGCGAAAGCCCCGCCACATGGAGAAGTCATACTTTTGAAACATTTTGAGGAAATCCTCTATGAAGCCGTATATAACTATCCAGTTGGTGTCCACACTTCCTGACCTGAAAATGAAAAATCAATGGAATAGGGTGAATTCTTTGTGTTAGCAGAGTTTACCTGAAACCATCCAACAAGCTACTCCCACCCCACTACGCCAGCACACTGTCAGGATGGACGGCACCAATGGAATTTGTGTGCTTGCAACTGGGGGATTCAAGAATGAGACCCTGTGGAAGCAAACAAGGATGGTTGGTTGTGCCACACTAGTTCTAGATAAGACATGAAGGAGGATGCATTTCTGAAAAAACCTCCTGCATTCTGTATCTCTAACTCTCCTGGTCCTTCGTGTCCTTGGAGAATCACCATGGCCAACTCTCTGCCTCTTTGTTACCAAGCAGCAAGAAAGGTGTCACTACAAGCCTGTTATGAGACACAAAGTCATAACCTGACAAGATCTCCAAGACGTGCAAGAGCTCTCTCTGAGCTGTGGGATCACAAGTGGAGAGGGTGGGAAAGAAGCCTGGAGATTTTTGCAGTAACTTTACAACAGTGTTTGATTTTAAATTTGTGTTCAAGTATTTACTTGATAATTGTTAAAATAAAATTACAACAAATACTAGTTTCGTGGCGGGATGTGAACAAAAAGGCAGATTTCAAACTCCAAGTCCTAGTTTCTCAAAACAGAGAAACTTTCCCCAGAAAAACATTCAACAAACAAGCAGCAGCTAGAAAGGGAAGCAGAATGTACATGAGGAAAGCCCAGTCTGCAAAGGTAGGCAGAAACAGAAGGAAAACAAAAGCTGTAATGTCAATTTGTTACATTTAGGAAATAATAATTTGTCAGTAGCACGTTCTTCCGTATCAGCAATCACTTATAAATATATTGATTTTAATCATATTTTAAATATATTGAATTCATCAAGCAAAGATAGCAGTGTGGTTAGGTGGACAGGTAAGGCCAGTTATGGATGGATTGCCTATAGATATGTATTTCACTTTAACGACAAACAGAGATGGAAAGTGAAGGGATGAAAGAAGATATTTCATATAGGGGAAATAAAACAATATTGGAGAGTCATAATAGACAATGTAGATGTCAAGCCACAATGTTCACATGAGTGAAAGTCATAGTGATAATGAGGTCATCACATCCCAAAGATACTAAAGTGCCCCCAACACCTGTGCACATAAGTATAACAGGTCTGAAGGGGAAAAAAATAACATATTTGTAGACAACTTCAATACCTGACTTTTCAGCAAGGATAAGTCATCCTGAGAGACTCTAGGATGTTGCCTTCAATTCTGTGACGCTCTTCCTTCCTGGGAAATGGCATATACCTTCCCTGCTCTCCCCCAGGCCTGTCTGAGGATGGCACAGCAGGGAAAGGGCTTTGGAAACAGCCACGTGCTTCCATGAGGTCACCGACGTCATACCTCGGCTACTACTGAAGAGGGGAAGTTAATTCTCAGCCCAGCAGAGGAGCTGGAAACGACCAAGGCCGTGTCTCCAAGCCAGTGCCCCGGACCCCTTTCCTTGTTCAAGGTCATAAAGGCTTATATAGAGCCCAGCTTTCTCGGGACCACACCCAGAGAGCAAAGTGTTCAGAAAATACATAGATCGTAGAGAAAGTAGCAAAAACAGGGGCCTCCCCGGTAGCGCAGCGGTTGAGCGCTGGGTTGCGAAGCTGCCCGCAGCTTCTGCAGCGCAGGTTCGATCCCCGGCTGCTCCCTGGCCACCGGAGAAGGGTCCCACATGGCGTGCAGACCTCTCCTGCCGCCCGCTGCTCCCCTCAGCAGTGTACTTCCGTCCTTCTGCCTGATCTGCTCCCCGCTCTGGCTCTGGTGAATTCTCTCACCCTCCTGTGCTTCTGCCTGTACCCAGTGCTTGTATAAATAAATAAATGAAAATAAATCTTTAAAAATAAATAAATAAATAAACTTAAAAAAAAAAAAAAAGCTGGGATTTTCTAAAAAAAAAAAAAAAAAATTAGCCAAAACAGATAGATAGCAAAGAAAAGATCTTTCTCTGCACTGAGGCTATAGAAGGCCCAGAGACAACTCAGCAGTGCTCCTGGAGTCCAGTAAAAATGGAGTCATTTGGGTTAGAAACAAAACAAAGCATAAAATGATAACCAAAAGCTCAGGACATTATTAACAAGTGCTGAGAATGGAGCTCCCAGTAATGCCCCCCAAGTCTCTGGCCCGGTAGGAAGTCCACTCACTTGTCCACGATTAAATAGAGGTCAAGATTGCTCTGGCAGGATTTCTTGTGATCTGCCAGCCTCTCCCTGGACCCGGTGTCCTGGCTGTGGCCCTGGCGGGTGCTCTCCCCATCCTGGTTGGTGTTGCTGGGGAGGCTTCTCCTGGCCCGAGTGAGGTGGTGGAAATCTAGCCAGGTCGGGGCTCTCTGCTGGTATGCCCCACTGCTTGGCAGCAGAGGGGGCAAAACCAGCAAGAGGAGGAATGCAAGTCCAGGCACCCTGAGGCAGCTGCTTTCCATTTCCTTGGCAGCCCTGGAGGCTGCAAGGGACGCTAACCTCTTTAAGTCAGGCAAGCTGGGACCTACACTCTTTCAAGCAATGTACAGGGGCCTATACCCCTTTAATCAAGTCTTTCCTTTAATCAAGTAACAATAGCCTCTACTAGTAGACCTGCACTAAGGGCAGAGTAGGACTATACTGGGTGGAGACCCCACTGCCTGCCAGGGTGTCTCCCTGACCCATAGAGACATAATGCCCTGTGTTGTGATGGACAGGGAGGTTGGCATGGCGACCCTGTGGTGGCTCATGCAGCTCTGCTCACTGTCTTGCCTACTGACATTCCCAGGGAGGAGTCAGGGCATCTCTGAAGGGGCTGTGAAAAGAACCTCCATTTGTCCCTTATCCTGAGCCCTCACTGATGGCCATTAAAGTTCTCCAGGAAGCCGAGTCTTTGCAAACTGCCAGAGCATTTGGGTTGGCTCAGACAAGGACATTACTGTGGCTGAGGGGGTCATGGCTAGGAGACCAGAGTGTTGTTATGGTCATTTGAGTGAAAACTGATGTCTTCTAGGGAGTTGGAGGATCTAAAATTGAAGAGAGTGATGCAATTGTGTTTGTTTAGAAGGGATTCCACTTATCCACTGATGTGAATCAACCGCCCCAAACTTACTAAGTCAAGTAAGAATCCCTTTATCATGCTTATAGTTTGCATGGACCAGAAATTGAGAGAAAACTCTACTGCCTTCGTTGCTCCATGGAAATCATTGGAACCCCCTGAACTTTCAATTTTATAATTAGCACCCCTTCTCCATTATCCCCAAATCTTCGTAACATTTGATTACAATCATATGGATATGTGTTCCCATTGAGGGAATGGGAACACAATCCAGACTCTCCCTATAAATGACCAAGTCAGTGTCTCCTCTAATTAGGTGTTCATGAAATTTCCCTAAGAAATCTTGACCTCTTTTGTCAAGTGCCTTCTCTGAATGCCTTATCATTTTGCTGCCATTGCTAATGATGTATAAAAAATACAGTTTTTAACCTACTCAAAATGGATTAAAGAACGAGACATAAGACCTGAAACCATAAAATATACAGAAGGAAATCTAGGTGAAACACTACATGACATGCACCTCAAGAACATCTTTACAGACACATCACCCAAAGCGGTGATAGTGAAAGCAAAGATAATCAGCTGGGACTACATCAAATTAAAGAGCTTCTGCACAGCAAAAGAGACAGTAACCAAAACAAAGAGAAACCCCACCAACTGGGAGAACATTTTTGCACACAACACTAATGATAAAGGTCTGATCACAAAAATCTACAAGAGCTGATGAGACTCAACAAAAACAAAATATATAATCCAGTCAAAAAATGGGCAGAAAAAAAAAATCTCTCCAAAGAGGAAATGCAAATGGTCACCAGGCATATGAAAAAGTGTTCAATATCACTTGGAATCAGGGAAATGCAAATCAAAACTACCATGAGATACCATCTTACACCAGTGAGAATGGCACATATTAAAAAAGGTAACAACAAATGTTGGCAAGATTGTGGAGAAAAAGGAACTCTCCTGCACTGCTGGTGGGAGTGCAAAATTGTTCAACCACTTGGAAAGCTGTGTGGAGATTCCTCAACCTACTAAAGACAGAGCTTCCATATGATCCAGAAATTTTACTCCTAGGTAAAAATTTACCCAAAGGACACAGAAAAATTAATTCCAAAGGGCACCTGCACCCCTATGTTTATAGCAGCACTATTTACAATAGCGAAGCTATGGAAACAACCCAAATGCCCAGAAATAAATGGATCAAGAAGATGTGGTACATATACACAATGAAATATTACGCAGCAATCAAAAAAGATAAACACATGCAATTTGCGGCAACGTGGATGGAGCTAGAAGGGTTCATGCTCAGTGAAATAAGCCAGAGAGAAAAAGAAAAATACTGGATGGTCTCACTCATAGCAGGAATTTAGAAAACCTAAATAAGTGTCCAGGAAAAAGACTAATTATAATAAAAAAAAATCAAAATCAATAAGCAACTATAAACCAGAGACACACTATGGGGGTGGTTGGGGGGAGGCTGGCAGCAGTTTCCCATTTTTTTTAAAGATTTATTCATTTATGCATACAAGTGCTGAGGTACAGGCCAGAGACATGGGGGGTGAGATGATTCACCAGAGACAGAGAGGGGAACAGAACAGGCAGACTGACTGAAATACACTGCTGAGGGGAGCAGCGGCGAGACAGGAGAGGTCTGCTTGACCATGTGGGTTGCTCCCTGGCTGGCCTGGGATCAGACTTGTGCTGCAGAGCCTGTGGATTGTTTCATAGTGCGGTGCTTAACCCCTTGCGCCCCCAGGGAGGCCCTGGTTGTGGGAATTTTATGGGGACTACACCTGAGAGGAGAACCCAATCATTGTGACTGGAGTTTTCTTGGTGATAAATCTTTAAATATTCACTGAATCATGGACTGAGTTGTACCTCCATCCACATTCATATTCTGAAGGCCTAATCCCTAATGTGCCTGTATTTGGAGATGGGGCCTTTAAGAGGCTGACAGTCAGGTTAAATGAGATCATTAGTGTGGGGCCCTAATCCTATGGGGTCCCCATAAAGGGAGGACAAGAAATCCAGGCCCAGAGGGAAGCCCCGTGAGGACTTATGGGAAGGCGTCTTCCAGGACCAGTAGCCACCTCTGAGACCAACCAGCTGGCTCTTTGACCTTGGACTTCCGGCCTCCAACTCTGTGAGAAAATAAATGCATGTTGTTTCAGCCACCCAGCCCGTGGTTCTGTATTACTGGAACCCAAGTAGATGAACACACATGACTGTTTAGTGCTTCTGTTTCTTTTATAAATCATTTTAGACAGGAGTTTGGACATTTGTTCATCAATATTGTTATAAAGTTGTATTTGATATTTATATTTTTGCTTTACCTATGCAAATATAATCTCATCTTATTACTTGTATTCTTTAACTCTATAAGTTGTTTCATTCAGAACCAATTTTTTTCTGATTATTTAATTGTTATCAGAAGATTTCATTCTTTGGTGATCATTCATTTTTTCCAATAATTTTGTTTTGTCAATACGTGACCTTATAGTTTGCTCAGCTTTTGTACTCAAATACACAAAAAGGGCATAGAACACAAAACTAAACAGATGGACTCCATTATACTTCATTATACTCCATTTATATCATACTGCATTATATTTGTATATTTATATTATAATCCATTATATGAGTTTTTTTCACATTGAACAAAACTATTATTAATATGAAGAAGACTGTACTGAAAGGAGATATTTATTAATCATTCATCCAACAAGAGACTATGTCCAATATCTACAAAAATTCATGTACATTGATGTGAAAAAAACAACCCCTCCCCCCAAAAAATGGGTAGAAGGATTAAATAGACACCTCTCCGAAGGAGATATGCGATGACCAAAGGCACATGAAAAGAAGCTCAACATCACGTATCATCAGGGAAACGCAAGTCAAAGCCACAGTGAGTTATCGCATGGCCTCACCCCTGTGAGAATGGTGCATGTTAAAATGTGCAGACACAAGTGTTGGCCAGGAGCAAAAGAAACCCTCAGCACCATTGGTGGGAATGGAACTGGGACGAGTCTTGTGGACAACAACATTGGGGTTTCTCAAAATTTAAAAAATACTCTACCACATGCTGCAGCAAATTTTTACTCCTGGGTATCCATATGAAGAATGCAAAATCTCTAACTGAGACACCTGCTGTCTTGTATTCACTGCAGCACTACCCCAGTCAGGTAAGCTACCCAAGTGCCTGTGTGCAGACGAGTGGATTAGAAAGATGTGATACATACACACACACACTGGGTAATCCTTTGCTCCAAGAAAAAAATGAAATCTTTCCCTTTGTGGTTACATGAACAAACTAGCGAGGGTTATGCTAAGCACAGTGAGTCAGAAGGAAAGTAACAAATACTGGATGATTGTTCGTATAGGCAGAATATTAAGAAACTAAACAACGGACAAAAGTAAAGCAAAATAAACACAAGAATCCAGACTGTAGAATTGAGGCTGTTAGGGGGAAAAGGATGCCCTAAAGCTAATTCCATACAGGCTTTGTGGACTCCACCCCCACTCCAGGCCAAAGCCAAAGACACTGGGAACTCCAAATCCCATCACCACCAAAGGGAAGGTGGCTGGGACCTGAGGGTGGGTTAAGCAGCCAGGTTGGTATAAAGCCAGACTTGTGGGATTTGGAGGGGTCCCCCATTTTGACTCTCCACCAGGTAGCAGCGTCCGGCCAGCTCGGAGAGTGCTTTTTGGGTTTCCAGGTCGGCGGATCGGGTAGGACGCATTAAAGACTTTATTTCCCTATTTTCTCCCTGGGTTGTACATTTTCCTTATTTCCTTTTCCCTTGTAAATAAACCTTTTATTAACCTTTTGTGTGTGCCTGTAGTGGAGTATTAATAAGTCCCTTGTAAGCGTTCAATATCGGGGCTGCCCTATAACAAGGCTACCGAAGGGGATGGTGAGAATTAGGGAGCAAAGGAGGAGGTGGACAGAATGAACCGTGGTGGGGTCGTGGGTGCTTTGGTGGTGGCCATGGTGTGATCACACACGCCTGAAGAGGCTGAACCTATACTCCATCCTACACAGTGTGGTAAACCAATGTCAAGCAATAAAGAAAAAAAAAAGCAAAGAGAATTTTGATAAAATAAAAACACATATTCTATAATTGTGTGTTTCTTCCTTCCTCACCACTGACACAGCCCTGTCTTCAGGGCTCCCCCTGGGCGGGGTGTGTCTGAGCAGCACAGACCCTAGCACTCCTGGGAAGCACATTTCTCTGAGGCCCCTCACCCTGGGGCCCTGGTCACCCCGGCTCTAGGGCCAGGCTACGAGGCAGTGTGCAATATTTGATTTCTCCCCTCAGGTGTAATCCTCATAAAATTCCCACACCAAGTCACTCTTGAAGAGTCACTGTAACCTCTTGTGCTCTTCCCTCCCCTGTTTTGTGCTCTCTCCCTCCCCCGCCCCTGCTGTATAGTTTGCTAGCTCTGTCTTCAACCCCCTTCTTTGGGATCCTGTGGGGAGGCACCATTTAGCACCAATCAGCTCATAGCTCATGCCTGATTGGACCATTCCACGACCCAGGAAGTGCAGGGTGGCATAAAAGGGAGGCTGCTGCCTAAAGGGCAGTTGCCTGGCTCAGAGGAGCAACTGCCATAACTGACTTGTGGTGGAGCAGCAGGGTGAGAGAACACCACTGCCCGCTCCTGTGCTGAGGTGGCTGGCTTCCCAAACAACTGGTTCTTCACCCTTGCCCCACTGGGAGCAAGGCCCAGCTCTGGCTGCCTCGGTCAGCACCTGAGTTGGGAGTGGCCAGCCCTGGGATCTCTTGCCTTGTCTGCCTGCTTAGAGGCATCTTCTTACCAGCCAGGATGAAGCTGGAGGCATTTCAGGCCCATGACCTGTCCTAGTTCCCCAACATTGCCCTTGGCATCTTCTGTGTCCACCTGGACTCTGAGGGCCTCTATGTTCTGACATTTAGGAAAAAGAGATTTCATGAAATAGGAGGAAACTAGGTTGTCCATAAGGTAGACATGTGCTAAGAAGGGGAGCGTTCGTCCTCTCTGTCCCTGTTGTATGTGCCCGTCATGTCAGTGAAGCTGAGGCCCCATGTGCCCATGAGCTGCCTTGGGCAGGAGACCTGTCTTGCCAGTCAGTCCTCAGACTGGAGAGGCAGCCCCAGAGGGGGATGAGACAGAGACAAACAGGTCAACACCTCCCTGAAAGAGAAAACCCCAGAGCCAAAGTTGGGGATTTTGGGCAAAGACCTCAGAGACAGCTGACACTGTGTCCCTTCCTGAGCCACCAGGCTCACTGTGGGCAGCAAGGAGGGTGTTTTGAGCCTGGACGGCAGCCTCCGGCGCTGGGAGCAATGAGGAGTGAAAATCAGAGCGAAATCCTGCAAAGGGTCTGCACAAGAAAGGACCATATGGGTTTAGGGTGCTGAAGACAATCAGCCATGAGAGAGTGCAGCAATGGTTTATTAGGGTTCAGGGCACCACACATCCATGTCTGTGCTCCCATAATTGGTTGTCTTTGGAAGATCCTGTCTGTGCTGTAGTTTTCCCTCCTTCAAGCTACTTTGATCTTCTTTTGGAGGTTCCTGAGACTGAGGAAATGTCCCTGGGGCGGTGGGAGCTTGGGAGAAGTAGGGGCACCGCAGGGTGTGAGGAAAGTGGGAATGGCACAGCCTCCCATAGGAGGAGGCTTTCGTGGGCTTGGGAAGGACTATGGTGGCTCTGAGACCTGAGCTGGCCTGTGACTGGTGACAGTCACTAGGAGGTGTCAGCTGTGCAGGGAATCTACTTGACAAGTGGAAGGTCAGGAAAGATCACCAGCCTGGCTGTGAGGACTTGCTGCTTTCCTTCTGGCTCTCCTGGACTACCGTGTCTCCTCTACAGAGAGGCCCTCAGTTAATTGAGTGTCACCAGTGAGAACCACAGCTTGCAGGAAAAAGCCCCAAAAAGCCTCCTGTCCCTCCCCCTGCTCTGGGGCATGGACTCTGGATCAGGGTCTATCTGGCCAGGATGAGGGCAGCTGTAGTCCAGGCAATATCCAGCTTACTCCAGCACCTTGGGCAGGAAACAACAACCTACACAAAGCTATTAGGATAATGAGGAAGTGAGGGTTGCAGGGAGCTGAAAAGGCTGCCTTGAGAGCATGCAGGAGAGGTTGAGAAAGTGGGCAAGATTTGCACTCACCTGCCTTCTTCCTGCCCTGAAAGTGCTGAGCTCTCCCTTCCCCACATAATTCCAGCACCTTCTATGTGGCCTCCATTGTAAGTTCTCTTATTTCTCTGAAGTGCCTTGTGCCTGGCACTATATACAGCTGGGGAGACAGATGTGCTGGCAGGAAAGGAACAGCCCATGAGGGGCAGATCCTCTCCCTCCCTCTCCTGTGCTGGCCATGGGGTCGGCCGCCTGTCACCTGTCAGAGGGGTTGGGGTGGGGTGGACAAGGAGAAAAAACTCAGGTATAAATGCTTTCAAGGCTAAAAGTCATGTGACTTCGTGTATCCCTGCAAATCCATCCACATGCACTTACATAAATCATGGTAGAAATTCTTTCCAAACATGGGGAAAGAAGTCATCCCTATCCATCCACTAATTCTACACAGATGAAAAACCCAAACCTGACATATGTCTACCTTTAGCTGTCTGAGAGAAATTCAACTGAAACATAATACAGCATTCAAGGATATGGGGGTGAGGGCAGACAGTAGTTTAGATCACCATCGGCGTGCTTCGGGGACAGCTCACTGTGGTTCACTTGGGGGACCCTCCCTCCAGGGCCAATGGGTTCCTCATGGGGTTCCTTGGGTGCTGTGGTGGCACATGGGGCAGTGCCCAGATGCCCTGTGATGGATAGAGAACCAGGACACTGTGCTAAATCCCTGTTGGAATACATGGTGGCAAATAGGGGAGATTCACCTTCTCTTAGGGAAGTGGAGAGAATCTTCTAAAATCCTCCTGGGTTTAGGGACAGTTGGGGGTATTTGGAAAGACAAGTTGCACTTTCAGTCAGTGAACTTTGGAGGATCTTGTGTCTTTTTATGACATATCCAGCAAGAGGTCATCAGAAAATGAAAGAAAAAGGGAGTGAGGGAGGTGAGACAGTTAAGTACTTCTCTCTCCATAAAATTTGGGAAGGAGAAAGGATTGATGTTTTTTCAAGGACATTCTGGCATTTTGAAAAGAGCAGAATTTAGCTAAAACTGGATGTGGCCCAGTCCTTGGTGGCTGATGAAGACCAGGCTGTGGGGAGGGGATCATCCATGTGCACAGCCAGAGGACACCGGGGTGCTCTGTCCAGGCAGGAGCAGTGTGGCCACATCCTGCACAGCGGAGCAGGGCTGGCCGGGGAACCACTTCTGCTGATGGACCACATCCAACTCCTTTGACTGTAAACCAAGACTCAATACATGTGTTCACTTAAGCACATAAAGAACTTAACATTAGATCTGGAGGTTTAGGGACTGGGCTATGGGGGTGGGAGTGCCAAAGGGATTCCACTGCATGTTCCTATAGGGGCAGGGATCATTGGCAACATCCTGGAGGGCTGCCTGGAGCAGACCAATTGTGGGGCTGGGAGCATATGGGTTGGGGAGGTTGACATGGGGTATATGGGCAACGTGTCCAGCAGCAGTTGGAGGGAAAGCACTCCGGGCTGGGTTGAAGGCAGCAGCGTGGGTATCCGCGCATCCTCCTACCTAGGGCCCTGAATAGGGAACATGGCTGTGGGAAGAGAAGAGAGAGGTCAGTGAGCAGCACTGGTATTGGGAACAGAAACTTGTGGTTTCAGTGGCTTATGGGGGCTACACCCACAGGCTGGACTTTTGAGGATGCCATTCCTCTCCCTGGGTGCTCAGTCAGCCAGGGCTCCTATGTGAGACTCTGTTTTGGTATTGGGGTGTGCCCACCCTCCCAGCCACCCAGGGCTCTCACACTGAACCTCTTTTGCTTGGCTGCTGACTGATTCTGCATGCCCTGCCAGGGAGACTGGTGAATAAGGACAAGTTCTGACTAAATGAGGGACCCAGAGTTCCCCAGGCTACCAGGTGTGTGCTGAGGGTGTGTCTCCATCCCAGCCAGGAGGGCCTCAGCATGAGAGGCAGCAGCTGACCCACAGCCCTGGTGCTGGGAAAGGGTAGAGGTACCTACTACCCCAACAGGCTGATTATCCAGACTTTTCATTTAAATTTAGAAGTGCTGGATAATGTTCTATATTTGTCTCCTGCCATCCTTGAGATGAAAATCAAGGAAAACACATGGTCTGCTGTCAAGAACCAGCTGGTAGGCTCCTGGGCACCATTGTCCTGTCTTTGACATTGTTTTGACAGATGCCAGCACCCAAAAGTCCCAGAGAGCAGTCAAGGGCAATAAGCAGAAGGTGTTTTCCTTGGGGAGCATCCCTGAGCCCTGCTTACGTTGCGCCTGGGCTGACAACACATCGCTGGGCCCCGGTTGCGGTTTTGAAAAAAATTGCCCATGATCTGCATGCGCAAAGTGTCCAGTTTGTCCTGGAAAGCAGAAGAGCCTGTGAGGAAGCTCTGAGCTGGCTGCTGCCTCCAGCGGGACAGTGTCCGCTCCAGTTCCCAAAGGCACCTGAGCTCTGTCCCCACAAACTCCCTGGGATACACTATGGCCTTTACTTGTGCAAGGGACCTGTTTTGGGGGGTGAGGTTGTGGGTCAGGGATTGTTTAGGAATAAATTATTATTTTTTGCAGGACAAGCCAGGAGCTACTAGTAGAGTTAAAGTACAAGGCTAGAGGTGATATGCGGTGTCTTGGAGGGGAACATTAGGTGTTCGCGGGGGTACCTGGGAAGGAGCTAGAAGGAAGGGAGGAGGAGGCCTGCACTTGTGAGGTCCACCAGGAAAGGCAGAGAAGAGGCTCCATGCCCTGAGAGTGTGCAGGGTCCTGCTGACGGAGGGTGGAGAGAAGAGGCAGCCCAAGACAGACCGAGAGTGACCTGGATCCCTGGTGGGGGATCCTAGGGGAGCTCTGGACCCTGCGCTCCAGCTCCACCCTGGTGTTTTCAGAGGGGGAGCCATGTCCTGTGAGCAGGAACGAGCCCTTGGTCAGGGCTTCCTTCTCTATGGAAGGTGTGTTGGGCACCGCTGTGTCGCACACTGAGGGGAAGGCAGGGCTGGCTCTCCTGATGCCATAGAAGCTCCTGGAGGAAGCCATGGCCCAAGCAGGACAGAGGCAGGACCAGGAGGAGGGGCAAAGCCAGGCAGAAATTGTGGGCTGTTTCTTCCTCCACCCCAGCCATCTGGACTCTATTCTTGTGGTGGGGGCCCCAGTGCAGGATGTGTCTCAGCAGGGCGGCCCAGCACTTCCTGGGGAAGGACATTCCCTCAGGCTCCTCCTCCATGCGGCCCTTGTCACCCTCGGTGAGGGCAGGTGGACAAGGCAGCTGTTCCTTCCCTCCCTCTGCTGAGCTGGCTTCTGTGAACGTCAGGTGCACCAGCATTTCCACCTAATGGGGGAAAGAATTTGACTCAGAAATTCCTATTTCTTCTACATTCTGACCTTCAGGAACCTAGTGATTTTGTTTTAACCCACTCCTACTGCTCAGGGAACCCAAGTCATTGTTGGAGCTGATGAGAACCTCTGTGTAGTCACTGTTTCCATAAACCTCGGCCCACTGAGTGGAGAGCCTGGTACTGCAGCCAAGGGAGCAAAGTTCAGCTACTTTAAAACTCATCTCCATCCAAGCCATGCCTTCTGGGCCCGCCCTGTCTGTACCTTTCTTCCACAGCCCTAGCCAGGCACATAACACCCTCCCCGAGGACCCTTCTTACCTCTAGCTGTGTTAGGTTGTCATATCCAGGGACCACCACCGTGGGGCATGTTGGTGCACATGGTTGCTAGGAAGAGAAATTTTTGAGTGGCAGTTCCAAGTGCAGACACATGAGGTGTTGCCCTGGCACCTGTCAACTTCTGGCCCCTCAGCTAAAGCTTGTTGGGAGGATTCAAGGACAACTGATTAACAGCACCTTATACTGCAAGGGAGGCCCTCCGTGGGAAGCACAGGCAAACTCCACATATTTTGCAAAGATAATCCTTCTCCAAAGGGCAAAATATTCTCTCCTGCCCCCGGGGTTTCCTGCGTTGCCCTTTGGAGAAGCCTGGTCATGGGGTTTGACAGTGTAAAGGTGGACATTGGGGAGAAGCATCAACAAAGGCTGATTGGCCTGGTGTTGGCAGATGCAGCCTCCCTGACCACAGTGCTTTGGCACCGAGGCCAGCCTCTGAGTGGGGCCTGCTTCCTAGGTCTCCCCTTTATAGATCACAGTGGCTCTGCTGTGCAAATTCTATGGGTCCCGTTTGGGCCTCCTTACCCAGGAGAGCCACAGGCAGCTCAGCTGACCCTTGGTCCCTGGTGTACTCGGCCTGGGCCTCCCTCACAGCTCATGCCAGGTAAGATTCCCTCCACCCTCCTCAGCCCTGAAATCCCCAAAGGACAAGCCCAGTCAATCCCCCAACCTGCCAGGAAACAAGGAGGAAACCAAAGAAATGCAACCCAACAGGGTCAGAGACTGCAGGGGGGTGACCAGTACTGGAACCCTGAGGTTCCTTTTCCAACTGCTCACTTAACCCAGGGAAGGACCAGCCAATGAACAATCTTTGGGAACTGACAAATTCAAAATCAAAAATAAAGCCCTTGTCATGTCACTGTGGATCATGGCACTTACTGAAACAGCTACTTCAATTTAAAATGTGACGGAGGCTCTGGATCAGACCTTTGGGAGCATGGAGGGGTGTTGTCTGATGGCATTTTGTGAGTCTTAGGTCCTCCCAGGATTCCCTCCCTGCCCCTCTGTCACCCTGCTTTCTGCCAGCTCTCTCTGTCCAGGTAGGTGGAGATGGTGGGGTGGGAAATGGAGATATCCCACAGCTCAGGAGGCCCGTTTGTGAAGTCTGTGTGGGCATCAGGAACAAAAAAACAACTCACCACCAACTTGTTCTAGAAAGTGAAAGAGACATACACAGTTTGAAAGGTTTTTGCAGGGCTCTGGCTGGTCCACACAGGCAGGAGGGGACTCTGCTCAGCGGGAGTGAGTGAGAACATGGTTTGGGTGTCACTGTGGGTGCCCACCCTCTGGGTCTGTGGCCAGCAGGCTGCATGTCCAGGAGCACCTGACTCCTCAGTTATCTGAGGGGATGCATTGTCTTCCAGGCCCTGCTTGCTCCTGGCTGCTGCTGTGCCTTCTCCTATGCTCTTCCTTCTCGCCATCCAGCAGTGTTCTTACTGCCTCTACCATGCTCTGCTGTCCCCCTATCCTGGCCCGGCTGTCCTCTGCCATTGCTCTGCGCTATCAGGGCTAGTGGCCCCCAGAACGTGGCATTGTGTGGTCCACCTCATGCCCCACCAGGTATCAACACCTGCCCAGACCCCAGACTATAGCTGCTGTGGACAGGCTGGCAACTTCTTCCTTTCTGTCCCTGTGTGCCCGGTATTGACAGCACTCCTTGGCACTCAGGAAGAAGATAGAGGGAAGTGGAAGCAGCACTGGATGTGCAGACACCGTGCTGATTTCTTTTTTCTTTTCTTCCCTGCTAATTTCTAAAGTTCGCTGCCCAGAGCTTGGGATTCCTGCTCATTCTGTGCCCCTGCTGTGCCCCTGCTTCTTCCCTCAACAGAGCTGAGTCCTCATCCCAGCCTCTCGTCTGCCTGTACGCTCAGAGTCCAGGGGCCACGAGGCAGCCCTGCCGGGATTCTGAGCCCTTCTCCCCAAGAACCAGGCAGCAAATAGAACATAGACTAACAAGCATGAAGTAGGAGGCCCCTGCCAGGTCATTTCTCTGCCTCGGAATGGAGGGTAGAGTCTGTCTTCCTTTGCTCCTGTTAAGACTGTGCACTGAGGGGAGCAGCAGAGACCAGGGCAGCAGGTGATTGTTCCCTAGAGGAGTTTTCTGGGCTCAGGGAGGTGTGCAGGTTGGGGCACTCACCTTTCTGCTGTGGAGTCGCCACAAGCACGCTATCACCAGAGGTATTAGTAGTATCAGAAAGGATGCAGCCAAGTAGTAAGCATAGATGTTGCAGCGATTTGAGCTTTCATTTCCAGTAAGTGCGGCTAACATATTGAGAATGGCAGGTGCATTCACTTTTGGCAGAAAGACCACAGACCAGGAGTGTGGGCTTGGGGCCTCCTAGACACCCATTGCCGAGCATGTAGTCTAGACTCCCATCAGCCCACTTTTATTCTCTGTAGATTACCATCTGGGCAGAACACAAGTACTCAGCCCAACTATGCTCAGTGCCCACTGTGGAGATGGGACACACCCGCCCCACTGGCCGTGCTCAGAGGCTCAGCCCAGAGCCCTGTCAAGGAAGCCAGAATCCTTGAGGAGAGACCAGCCCAGCCCCCCACCCCCAAAACCTGCGTGGCAGTGCAGGGACACAGAATTGTACACATACACAGATGGGTTTCTGGGGGAGGGTGGGGCCCCCTGAAATTTGGGTGTGCAAGAGCAGAGCAGGAGACCCAGGACCATTGTACATGAGCCTCCCTCTCTTGTAGGCTCTGAGCCATTGGCTGAGCTCCTCAATCTCTCTGAACCTCCGTGTCCACATGTGAGCAGGAGGTGAGAGGGTTGTGAGGTGTGGAGGGTCATCAGAGTCCTGGCACAGGCCAGGTCCATGTGGGGCTGAAGAAAGGGGCTGTCTCTGGCTGTGGTTCTGAATCTGGGGTGAGTGGGTCTCAGGTGGGACCCCACACAGTCTCTGCTCAGAGCAGTAGGCGGGAGAGAGGTGTGGTGCCCGGGAACAGGGTGGCAGAACGGCAAGGTCAGGGCTGCTCACCTGCACTCCGGGGATCTGCCCTGAGTTTCTCCTGAGGACTTTCCTCATGGGCCTGATGACAGACGAGCTGTGCGTCAGTGGGACTCCTGAGGGGCTGATGAGCATCCTCTGGCCAGTCTGAGTGGATGTGCAGACACAATGCAGACAACATAGAGATGTCAGCTGGTGGGGACCCTCACAAGCAGGTACAAAACACAGGGATCTGGTAATCGGGCACCGAAGCCCTGCTCCCCAGCACACTCTTCTCCAGCCTAATGCTTGCCACTGCCATGCCTCACTGCCCTGGGCTACGGTGCCCGGGTGATGGGGGACAAGGAAAGAGCTTGTCACCTTCGTTCCCCGGTGTCCCTTGCTGAGATGACTCCTGATCCCTCCCAGGGCCCTGATAGCTTCTCCTCTAGCTGAGGAGAGAGATGTAGGGAGAGCTGCAGCCAGGACAGCTGAGGAGTGTGGGGAAAGAGGAAGGAGGGGAGGGGGCTAAAGGGATCTGAAAAATGACAGCCAGTGTCCCCAGGGTCCCAGGGGCTGTGATGGTCACACACCGGGCACCAATGCAGAGGAAACGCACCCTGACTGTACAGGGCCCAGCTGTGCCCAACACATCCCCTGTGCCTGGAGCCTGCTGGGAAGTCCCAGCGCCCAGATCCTGGAGTCTGGTTTCTTGCACTGAACCTCCTAGCAACCCCCAGTGGAATTAAGATGGTTCCCCAACTTCCTCACCACAGACCAGGTTAGGGTTGCTGGCCAGGCGGTATTTAACATGGGAAGATCCTCAACACCATTTCTGCAATCTGCTTGGGTGCTTATTTCTCCCTTGTACGTGCCTTCAATGACAGTGTTCAGAGAGTGGAGGGCGTCTGTCATGCTAAGATGGCTGCACTCCAGGGCTCCTAGAAGCCCCCAGGTATGTTCAAACACTGATGAAGGGCTAAGGGCCTCATTGATGGGAGATGCCGCACAGTACTGCCATCACCTGCTTCTTGCTAGGCCTACATGGGCACTGGTCCACTCTCTTGTCTCCCTAGCATGACTCTGTCCTCTGAGCAGGCTTCTGGGCAGCCCAGAGTGAGACCATGTACATAGTCTGTGACTCCCACAGTCCTTGCTGCTGATCTTGAGCCCGTTGCTGATGAAGCTGGCACCGTTGTTCAGGCTCACTTCAACAGAGATCTCGCTAAACACAGAGGGGACAAATGGGGACCACAAGTGCAGGTTGGCACAGCTCGTGGTTTCTGGTCAAACCATATCCCACAGCTCTCCCTACTGTGATGGCTTTGAACGTCAGGCATTCGGGGCTACTGGAGGGCAGACGGCCTGGGGAGGAGACCCCACCCCAAGTCCCACCTAGGTGATGAGGATGACCAGTGAGGAACTCTGCATGGGGTCAGATGCTTTGTGGTCAGGAGCTCAGTGACCAGGGAGGCTGTGTGGTGTCACCATCGTGACTCTTGTGTATTTGTATTGTGCTGGCTCCGCTCTGAAGGCTGTTGGGTGCAGAGTAGCCCCCCTGGGTCTCTCATCTTCCACATCCTCTCCTCAGCAGTAGCTGGAGCACAGCAGATCCCTGAGATCATAGGGGTAACTCCAAGATGGGCAGGTCAGGACGATGCCCTGAAGCCTCCCAGAGCACGTCACATGCTGCCCAGCAGAGGTGCCCCAATTTCTCCATCTCCTGGGGCAAAAATGCCTGCCTGTCCCAGAATGGCACTTACTTGGCTGGTATCTCTATCTTCACTGCTGGACATTTTATGCTGGTTTCTTCCACCTGGGTGTCTTTTTCATCTAAAGCAAATGAGACAGGAAGAAAGTCAGTGGACGTGCCCATCCACCCCCGCTCCCATCTGCCTGCCCTTGGCTGGTGCAGCTCTGCGGGGCAGATGCAGCGTCTCCTCTCTGCCCTCTCAGCAGCTGCCCATACTAGCAAGGGCAATGATCTGAGTTGAATGGGATCCGGCTCTCCAGGGCTTATGTTTGTGGGGTTGGTGGGAAAGCAGGCCAAAAAACACAAAAAAATTAAATAAATGCCAGGGAATTAAAATTGTGACATTAATGAAAAGGGTTGGGACACGGATGGAGGGATCAAGCAGGTGCTAGGAACAGGGTGATCTGTGTTATGTTGATGAAAACTGAAATATTTATCCATTAAGTGAATTCATGCTGGTATTACTTCAAAACATTGATTATCTTATTTTGAATTACTGAAATTAAGTGATGCTGTTTCAAGTTCTTTTTTCAATAATTCTATTTTTTAAATGTTTTTGAACATTTTTTAAAAAGATTTATTCATGCATACAAGAGCTGGGGTACAGGCCAGAGATGAGAAGGTGAGATGATTCACCAGAGACAGATGGGGAGCAGAACAGGCAGACTGACTGAAATTCACTGCTGAGAGGAGCAGCAGACAAGACAGCAGAGGTCTTCCTCGCCATCTGGGTTGCTCCCTGGCCAGCCAGGGATCGAACTCATGCTGCCCAGGCTGCGGATTGCTTCATAGTGCGGTGTTTTAACCCCTTGTGCGAACAGGGAGGCCCTATTTTGAACATTTTCATTAGAAATAAATTATTTATGAGGGTGCTATCCTGTAACTGTATGTGATGAGTGAAAGCCAGGGCAAGGTCCCAGGGCAGAGGGTTCTGCCCTGTGGGAACAGCATGTCCTAGGCCCTGAGGCAGCACTACCTGACTTGTGGTAAAAGTAACATGAAAGGTAGGATGGACCTCATGGTCCTGGAAGAGTTCGGGTTTTAATCTAAGGACAATGAGTCTGTTGAGGGGTGAGCCACCTCAGCACATGCTTTAGACATCAAAGAAATAGGACCTACCCTGGACTGAATATGGGGATAAAGCAAAGAGGGATCAAGGATGACATGCAGGTTTTGACCAGCTCAAGTGGGTGATGGTGGGGCTATTTATTGACATAGGGGATTTCTTTCTTCTATGGTTTTGCTTACTGATATTTTAAGTGAGCATGGCAGTCAGAAGACTCAAAAGAGCTCCCTGACTTGTAGTTGTGGATCCTGCTTACTTCTGAGTTCTTTCTACCCCTGAATTGTGGCCAAGTTTTGAAGGATCAGCTCCCTTTAGAGTCTGATTTACCCTTCCATGTACCCAGGTAGGCTCCGCAGGGTCCCATGCTTCCCCTCTGGGATTTGGAATCAAGGGCCACATGCTTTTCACCACAGTGATCCAGAGGACAATCCTTTCCCTGGCCTTCTGTTTAATTGGACATCTCATGACCCTAGCTGAAACCATGTCTTTGGACTTGTAGACAGATGCAGGCTGGTATGCACACCCCCTAGGATCATGATGTTGGGTAAAATGTTTGGATGACTGCTACAGGTGCAAATCCATTCAAAGAAGTGCTAATAGGCCTCTTTTGAGAACCAGGATACTGCATGTAAGGCCCTGCGAACATACGCCCACTCAGAATGCATTACTTCTCTATGACGGAGTTCTCAGTCCCTGCATCACTCTTGAGAAGTATAGAACAAAGGAAAGCTAATTCCCCAAGGCCAGCTACGCATGGTGAGGTTGGGTGTGGCAGTGGCACTCCCTGCTTTATTCTTTGCACCCTTGGCAGCAAGGAGAGATGGGCTAGGAGTGCGCTGGGGAGAGGAGTTGCTCTGGGTTTATCCCATGGTCCTGCAACAGGCATTCATTTAATATCACATCACATGAAATGACATTTTCAAGAGGCCGAGAGAGTGAGGGTTTCGGGAAATCCAACTGGACCCCAGACACTCTGTAGGGATGATCACACCCACCTCACCATGAGGGCAGGACACCAGCCTGTCCTAGCTGTGTGCTCCCTCAGGCCGTTCCTCCATCATGGAGGTACACCTGATGTGCGAGTATCGCCAGATAATGCCTTCCATACGTCGTAGAGCTTAGTTAGTGCAGCTGTTATATTGCTCCTGTTTCACAGTAGGGGAAATCGAGCAAGAAGGGAAATTTCATACGGTCATGGTCACACAGGGAATGTGTGCCTGTGCCAGATCCCAGGACCTGCACCTCTGCTTGGCCTCCTCTCTCAATTGAAGGTGAATATTCCCTCCTGGGAAGCTACCAGTGCACCTGGCATGAACTCAGAGCCCAGGACAGCTTCCAGTTTCACCTGGTCGAACCATGAGATTGGGGTCTTTGTCTCTCAGGAAAGTGAGAGATGAGGAAACCTCGGGGGAAGCAACTGTGAGGGAAGACCCTCCTCACAGGGAATAGCACTAACCCCAGACACTTTCATGGCCTGGGAATGGATGGGTCCCACCCACGTCCCTCCTTCCACTCTCGGTGCTGCCTCTGTCCTCCCAGCACCCATAGCGTAAGGGCATCAAGGGTTTTGGAGGCATGGTGCCTGAGGGAAGAGAGCATGTTGTGGGAAATTTGTTATTTGTTCAAAGCAAGGGAGCTACTTACCAAAAAATATGGTGTCACTTATCTGAAATCTGCAAAGAACTTCGTTTTTGTTTTTGGTGTTATGAAAACCTCTTCCAAAGATTCCTACATTGTCGTTTTCTGCAAGGGCAACATCCAAAAGTGTGTGTAAGGAGGGAGGAGCTCTGTTGTCTGCTGATCTCATACTATGGCAGTCTACCCCCAAATGGAGCCCCCAAGGGACTCCTGGAGGAGACAGCTGTTGAACCAACATCTGGGTGTCTCCTGAGGCTCACCTGGTGTTTCTGAGGGGCCACTGTGAGGAGGCTGGGTGGAGCTCTCGGGCACTCTCACCACAGCTGCTAACCGGCACAGCCCAACAAGGCTCCACCTGGTCCCATCTCCATAAATAAACCCGATGTGGGTTTACAATCTTTAAGTTCTGAGACTCCCTAAGGGGTGCAGGCAGTGCTTTCCATCCTCCACCAGGGCGCCAGCTTAAACAAGATCTGCGAGAGACAACCAAGGCTGCACCACTCTGTCTCTGGCTTGAACTGAGCACCCTGGACTTGTTGCTTGTGAAATTACTTGACATATGGGGTCTGTTTTTCCTCACCACCTTTTTGTGTGCCCCTGGCCGACTAGTGAGCTCAGGAATAAGGTGCGACCCAGTGAGACCAGCAAGGAGCTGCTGATCCTCTACCAAAGAGTCCCCCTTCCCTTAGCTGTGAGGCAGATCCCTGAAGATGATTGTTCTTCCACTCCTATTGACCCTCTGCAGCCTCCTCTCTTCCCTGCCTAGGGATTCATGGAAAGCTCTTCCTTCTGCTGGGTGGGGAGTGATTTGCTAAGGGACATCTGTCCTACCCCCCTTGATTGGACACTGGGCATCTTCTCCCTTGGAATAAATACCAGGGGACACAGTGATGGCAGTTGTGGGTTTGGCTGCCTGGATTTAGACAGGATACTATGAAGGCCTTCTTGCTGTAGGTCAAGGTCATTATCCTGCACTGGTGGCTCAAACTCATGTCTAGCTAATTCTAGTGCCCTGTTTTCCCCTATTGTGGCTATTCTACTTCTCGTTCACCCCAGGGAAATTCTGTCAAGTGGCCGCAGAGAGGTCAGAATGAGGACGTGACCAGGGGCAGGGACTGTGTTCCCACTTATTAGGAAGTACCGGAGTATCAACCAAGGACACCAAGGTTTGGCTTTTGCATGCAGTGGAAGGTGGACAATCTAATGTTCCGTGTGCTCCCGCTTATTAAAAATGCCTTTTGGAAGTGTATGTAGAACGAGATGTTAGCATATAGGATCACCTATATGTTAGAATAGGATCACCTATTCATGGTAGTTATATCTGGTAGACTTACAATGGGACAGGCTGGAGAGGCGCTGCCGCCAGGATGCAGGGGACTGAGGGGCAGCTGTGGTGGTGTGTGTCCTCATGGGGTCTGCGTTATGCAGATGTGTGTGTGCATCTGTGAGACTCATAAATAATATACCTGTGATGCGATGATGAGTGCATTTCAAAAAGACAACTCGGGAAAATTGGTCCATTGTTTGTCATAAGCAGAATGACAAAGTTGGGTGTGGAACAGCCTGATGACTCTAATTTATTTTGAAAACTTTCAAAAATAAGAGGGATTGATGGGGACAGAGAAAGAGAGAGGGAGCTAGATAATAAGTGATAATTAGCTCAGCTCTTAATTGAGAAATCCAGCTAGAGGATCTCCTTGTAGAATAGCCTCCATTTGCTACAGGTTTGGAAACGTGCGTAATGAAAGACTGAAAGACAATCAGATTGAATGAGTAATGCAAGCATCACAGTTAAGCAGTAGTCATGAATTATTGCATGACCAGTGGAGAATGAGAGGAATCTGGGTAGAGCCAGGGGGGCCAAGTGACCAGGAAAAGCTTCTTGGGTCAGTGGACCTGAGAGAAAGATCCCAAAGGACTAGTTGACTGAACCCCGTAAAACAGGAAAAGGGCTTGCAGGAAGGCAAGCCTGGGCCCCAGCCTCTGGGTCCGCAGGGTGAGAGAAGAAGGCATATCTGCAGGGCCTGCTTGTCCATCTGCGGGTCTCACCAACCCAGCCAGGCTGGGATTAGGGAAACGGCCTTCTCAGCCCTGTTGTGCCCTCAGGAGTGTGGGCTGGAGCAAGGACGTTGAGGCAGGGAGGGTACAGAGGACTCTGCCTGGAATCTGAGGTGTCCTGTGGGGTTGAGGAGGTTGAGCCCTGTGCTCAACTCACCTGTGCCCCAAGGCTCCTTGCCACTATGTGTCTCGGGTGACTCCTCCTGTTTTAGGGAGTGTAGATGTCTGCCTTGAACTTTACCACAAATGACTGTGACGCTGGGTGGCAGCGGTTGACTAGAGAACAGTTTACAAGGACAGAGCAGGGATTGCTGGGCCAGGCTGGTAGGGGGTGTGGGAAGGACTCCTGTCACCTTGGGTGGGTACGATTGGTCTCCCCACCTGTCTGTGTTCACATGCTGCTCAGACACTCCTGCCTGGGTGTCTCCCTGGACATGCCCAGAGAAACCAGGCTGCCAGTTGCCTGCACGGGTGGGGACTTAAAACAAGGAAAGACCCATGTGTGCTGTGGGTGGTGGGGCAAGTGTGTTTCTAACCCAGCCCACTTGAGGCACTGCAGGTTACAGATTCAGAGAAGTCAGGATGAGTCCTGGAGACTCTTCCATCCTGGAAGCTCTGTAGCCACGCCCTCCCCGCCTGGGCAAGCATGGGCAGCGGAGCCATGGTCAGTCATGGGAATATGAGCGCCACGACTCTTCCTTAAGTCTGCCTGCTTCTATTCTGAGCTGGTCCCTGCACAGTCCACTGGCCTCCCCTCTCTCACGGAGCAGAGGGTGGGTATTGATCTTTCTGCCTCTTGGAGAGAGCAGAGGAGCTGGCAGATCTGGGTCCCTTGCTCCCTGGGGCTGGCCACGGGCAGCAGAGCTCAGCTGGAGCAGCCTTCTGTCTGACCCGGGTGAGGGTGCTCCAGCCTTCCCGGCAAGGACACAGAGGCAGAGCCAGCTGTCTGGGTCAGGATGTGGTGGGTCAGGCTGTGTGCTGTTCCCGGGAAGGGCGTGCTTACCCGTGGGCCTCCTCTGTTTGCTCCAGGGCTGCGGCAGAACAACCTGCACTCACAGGCCCTTACAGAGAGACGCCTTGTAGCCTAAGGGAAGTGCCTGGACCTCCTCACTGCAGTGCTGCGGGACCCTCTGGTGGAGCAGACATCCTCGTCTTGGTCGAGCTCTCAGGAGAGGCCTTCCTGTTAACCCTGAAGCTGATGTCAGCTGGAGTGTTTGCGTGGAGGGATGTTGGTCACCTTATGCCCGTATTAAGACACTGGACTTTGAACTTTTTCTTCACACACTGAAATCATCATTTCCTCTTCATTTGGCTGATGGGAGGAATACACTGATGTTTCAACTCTATATTAGCCCTGTGCTTCTGGGGTGATCCCAAATTGGCTCAGGAGTATTCTACTTGTCAGATGATCTTGGGTTTCATTGCTACTATGTAATGTTTTTCCTCATTTTTAAATTAAACTTCTGATTTTGTTATTAAAAATGAATTATACACTCTTATTGTGGTAATCATTTCAAGTTTTATATGTCAAACCATTATGTGATATACCTTCAACTTACATGGAACTGTTTGTCAACTCTAGCTCATGAAAACTGGGAATAAAGAGCATTTACACGTATATATTCACATCACACATTTTAACTGCACAATACACTACATCCATCACACACATCGAAGCACAACATGCAACACACACAAGCACAAAAGCCTCTGTTTAGAATAGAGACTCAGCTCTTACCTCCCACACAGTGAATGGGCGGTTCCACACTTGTAAGCTCAATGCAGGACTTAGCTACGAGCTGGAACAGAGAGTTGTTCGGGTCAGGTAAGGTGAAGAGTGGGCATGGTAAGAGCCACCTCATCCCACCCTCCACACCATCCCTCTCTCGCTGAGTCAATGATGTGCTTGAGATCATAGAATCCACTGTGCACGCCAACCACATGCTCCTCGCTGTCTGCAATTGGCAGGAGCTACAAGAGGAGCCGAAGTTTTGGACCCACAGCAGGGTTGAGGGGCCAGCAGACCACCATCCCGGACCTGAGGTTCAGGCCTCATGCCATGTGAAACTCAGTGCCCCACCCTGACCAGCAGCCCAACTTTCTGGAATGGAAAGTTATAACTGTTCCCCAGGTCTGTGGGCTCCAACACAGTTACTCATTTTGCAGTGTTCACATGTTGTCCAGATACATGGGGTGGGTTAGAGAGCCATCCTCTGGGTGGCCCTGCCAACGTTTTCCACGAGACTCCTCAGTTGGCGGCTGTTCTGAATTACCTGGTTTTTCACGTAGTTGTTGACACCCACAATGTAAACAGTCCCTCCCAGTTGTCGAGTCCTCTGAGCCTAAGACATAGACCGTGTTAAGTGCAAATCACTAAACATGTGGAGCAAAGGCTGGTCAAGGTGGGCTGGACTCACTTCATTCTTCGTAGCCTGAAAGGACTCAGGCCAAAGTGCTCCATCAATTAGGGAGACAACCATGGAGTGCACTTTCTTTTCTGTGGGAGAAGCAGGAGGTCCTGGTCAGTAAAGGCGCCCAGAGTGACCTGCCACAGGTGTGAAGGCCATGCACTGCCCCTGCTTCCTCTCCTGGGAGAGGCTGCCAGACCCCCGCAGCCCCGTTCCTGAGCGCCTAGAGGGCTATGGAGCAGCCACTGGAGGGAGAAGACTCTTTCGCCAACCCACTTTACAGAGGAGGAGACTCAGCCTGGCTGAGGACTTTCCTTCCTGGGTTCTCACTGCCACAGATGGCAGATCCTGTTTCCTGAGGGCGAGTCCAGCTAATTCAATGGACAAGTTCATGCCTTTCCCGAGAGCAATGAGGAAGCAGCCTCACCAACAAAAACTTGTCCTTCAGGCTCAGAGCAGGCAGAGGCACTACTGCTGGCCCCTTGGGGCCCAGTCAGTCAGAAACAGGGAAGAGATATTTGGGGAGTGGACCTTGAGTCCAGATGTCAGCCTTTCCCCACAGTCTCCCACTTTCACCTGTTGTGCCTGAAGCATCCACCCTACAGACTCAATCCCAACGGAGAGGGTGCTGGGCTGACACAGCTGCTAGCCCTGGGGACACACGGGCCAGCAGGAGCGTCAGCAGAGGGAAGACGATGAAGGGGAAGGAGGCAGCTCCAGCCATGGGAACGCAGCAGAGTGTGGTCAGCAAGGGGAAAATCAAGAACTTTTATTCCATAAGTGGAGTCTTGTCTGCCCGAGGTGCCCCCTGGCCTTTCTCCCTTTTCCACAAGCTCAACTGTAGATCGGGTGCCTCATACTTAATAAACACCAGGAAAGTACACCCATGACCGCGCAAGTCTCTGAATGAGCAGGGGGGCTGCCCTTCCCCTCTGCCCTTCCAGACGAGGAGCCTGGAGGACATATTGGGCAGGAAACTTGCACAAGAGTCAGCTCCAAGTGGGGGCCACCAGAATGCTGATTCCCCGGCCTGACTGTTGGAACCGACAGTCTCGAAGTCAGCAGAGCTTACCTCCAGAGTTTGCTGTGGAGATCTGCTCATTGACCTGCAAAAACAGGGAGGCATGTTGAGAGGACTCAGTGATATTCTGAGCACTTGCTAAAGCAGGATAAATTCTTAGAGCTCTGGCTGTACCGCTTTAAATCCTTCCTGCATGTCTGTGTTTCCGGTAGGCACTGTGTTGCGTAGTTTGTTGAGACCGTCTTCGATTTCTTTTCTAAAAAAATAAAATAGAGTGTTGAGGTAGGAAGAAGGGTATGGTGTTCTTGAACATCCCCATCTGTGCTGGCACATTCTGCACTGGGCAGTCCGATCTGGACGAGGGAGGCCACAGTCAGGAAGCCGAGCCGTGGGCCTTTAGCCAGGGGTCATTGAAATTGACCTTGTCTGTACTCATCACTGTATCAGGTTCATAGACCCAGCAGGCTTCATGAAGGATCTGACAATCCAAGGCAGAGTGGGGAGCAGTTGTGACTGCGATAATGTGAACTGGAACTCACAATGGGACTGCCAGCACCTCAGGGGTCCCCAGTGGGGCTCATCACCCTCTACCAGGCAAGGCTGAGTTTGTTAAGGGTCACCCTGGCAATACCCCTGCCCTGTCCCTTCCTCCCTGCCCTGGACCACTGAGGGTGACTTAGAACTCACAGCCTCCCTCCGATCAGGATTGGATCTGAAGGAAGCAGCAAAGCTGCTTTGAGTGCTTAGTCCCTACTTCAGAGCTCCTGACAGGGAAAATCTAAGGCCAGGGAAGGGGCCATAAGTGCCGCCCATGCTGGCAGGGGAGCAGTGAGCTGCAGATGGCCACACTTTTGTCCTTTACTAGCTGCTGCTAAGGTAGATAACAGGTGGGAGTGGGACATAAGTGGTGGGGGAGCTGGATCAGGCTGATCCAAGTGAAGATCTGAGCCGGCACAGCAAGGCTGAGTGGCAGAGATTGTCTAGAAACACAGGAGCTGCCAGTGTCAGTGCCAGAGTTATCAGAGGGACTGGGAGTAGATGTTGGGGGCACAGGGTGGTCTCTGAGCAGAAGCCAGCCCCGCCCAGGCAGCAAGCCTGTGGGCTCCTGACTGAAACTCAGGACTCCTCTGCCTAGTTTTCTCCATGGTCTCCGTCTCCCCCCTCCCACCACCAGTAGGTTTGCCTTGAGGGAGTGAATCTGAACTTACTTGTCCGAGGTGAGCTTTAGGACGGTGTGGCCCCTTGTGGAGAAGGTGACGATCGAGACCCTCATGTTCGGGCTGGGGAGGAAGCACGTGTACGTGAGAGTCATAAACAGAGGTTCAAATGACCCCATGAGCAGCCAGGGAGGGGACACCTGCCTGTCTTCACTTCCCTCTAGCCTGTGACCCCTTCCTGAGTTCCAGAAGTTACCATAAATTTAGTAAAGGATTCTGAGGCCAGCAAATGTGTGGTGATCCAGGGAGACTGTCAGGGTGGTGTCCTGCTCTATCCCTAGATCCCATCCTCTACCTTTCTCTCTCTGTCTCTGTCTCTGTCTCTGTCTCTGTCTCTCTGTCTCTCTGTCTCTCTCTCTCTCTCTCTCTCTCTCACACACACACACACACACACACACACACACACACACACACACACACACTGTTCATGCCTCACACTAGGTGAAGGTCCCTATCCCTGCCACATGAGTAGCCTCTATTCTCTGTAACATTTTTTGGAAACTCTAAGCCCTCCCTCCTGGACTATGTTACTTTCCTGCCTCCGTCTAAGAGAAATTATTGTTCCTTTTATGACTCATTCACATGCCTCCATCCCTTTCCTTTCCCTGCCCACTGTCTTCTGCGTCACAGGCTCCCTTTCTGTGTTAGAGGATTGCTGCCCTAGTCCCTGATGAACTCCATGTAGCTGTGGTCTTGTTCCCACTCATTTTACCCACAATTACCAGTTTTCCTGGAGCACAGTCCTCATCACCCACACTCAGCCCAAGAGTCATTTATAACTTCCTTTTGCTCAGGTGCATTGAGTCCCCTGGCTCATTGAGTCCCCTTTGGCTCTTGACCCCAAGCTGTCCTGTCCCAGACTCAGTTGTTCCCCTTCTGTGAGTTAAGCCCTCTGTCCCCCTAAACACATCACTCTCTCCACAGGAAGTCTCCTTGATGCTCTTGTTACCCTTTTCTTCTTCCTAACAGTCCTAGTTCTAGTGTCCATATCCTGGGGATAACTGCCATTAATATTCTCTAGGAATTCTTGCTTTTTCTTAAAAGTTGCCATGAGGGTCCTTTACAATTTTCTTTGGAACTATTTAAACAAGTGTGGGTTTTTTTTTTTTTTCAACTGTGTTACAGGTTAGCCTGATCTAATCTGTGACATCCTCCAGTCAATCAGTATTTCTTACACTGTGGCTTGACACCAAGTCTGGAAACACCCGAAGTCTCTAGAACCTTTGGAGCCCATGGAAACTGAGTGAACTGCATTTTTGACTGGTTCAGAACTCCACCTGGGGCTTCATGCTGCTGATCCAAGATACCCATGCTCACTGGGTCTAAGCAAACAGGCACTCTGCCTGGCATTGCAAATGCCCCACCACGTGGAGAAGTCATACTTTTCAAATATTTTGAGGAAATCCTCTACTAAGCCGTGTATAAATATCCAGTTGGTGTCCACACTTCCTGACCTGAAAATGAAAAATCAATGGAATAAGGTGAATTCTTTGAGTTGGCAGAGTTTAATCTGAAACTATCCAACAAGCTACTCCCCCCACTATGCTGCCGCACACTGTCAGCAACCCCAGTGGGCCTTCCTGATGGTGACTTTCGTCAGTGCAATGAGGTGGACGGCACCAATGGGATTTGTGTGCTTGCAACTGAGGGATTCAAGTGGGAGACCCTGTGGAGGCAAACAAGGATGGCTGGTTGTGCCACACTAGCTCTAGATAAGACATGAAGTAGGATGCTTTTCTGAAAAAACCTCCTACATCCTGTAACTCTGACTCTCCTGGTCCTTTGTGTCCTTGGGGAATAACCATGACCAGTTCTCTGTCTCTTATCTAGTAGCAAGTAAAGTGTAAATACAGTGTCAGTACCAGTACACTTTACAAAGTAAAGTGTCAGTACAAGTCTGTTATGAGGAACAAAGTCATAACCTGACAAGATCTCCAAGATTTTCAAGAGCTCTCTCTGAGCTGTGGGATCAGAAGTGGAGACGGTGGGAAAGAAGCCTGGAGTTTTTCGCAGGACCTTTGTAACAGTGTTTGATTTTCATTTTGTGTTCATGCATTTACTTGATAATTGTTGAAATAAACGACAAACAAATACTAGTAGCATGGCGGGATGCTAACTAAAAGGCAGATTTCAAAGCTCGAAGTCCTGGTTTCCCCAGAGAAACATTCAACAAACAAGCAGAGGCCAGAATCGGAAGCAGAATGTACATAAAGAAACCCAGTCTACAAAGGTAGGCAGAACAGAAGGAAAACAAAAAGCTATAATGTAAATATATCACATTTAGGAAATGATACATTGTCAGGAGCAAGTTCTTACATATCAATAATCACTCCAAATTTAAATATGTTGAATTCATCAAGCAAAGATAGTGCTGTGATTAGATGGACACATAAGGCCAGTTATGGATGTGTTGCCTATAGATACATATTTCACTTTAAAGAGAAACAGATGGAATGTGAAGGAATGGAAGAAGATATTTCATGCAGGGGAAATAAAACAATATTGGATAGTCATAGTGATAAAGAGGTCATCATATCCCAAAGATATAAAATGTGTCCCCAACATGCCACACATATATATGTACAATTGGTGAAAGGAGAAAAAAACCATATTTGTAGATAACTTCTATACCTAGTTTGTCAGCAGTGGATAAGTCGTCCTGAGTGTCTCTGGGCTACTGCCCTCAACTCTGGGACGCTCATCCTTCCCAGGAGATGGCACACACCCTCCCTGCTCTCCCCCAGGCCTGTCTGAGGATGGCACAGCAGGGAAAGGGCTTTGGAAACAGCCACGTGCTTCCATGAGGTCACCGACATCACACCACGGCTACTACTGAAGAGGGGAAGCTAATTCTCAGCCCAACAGGGGAGCTGGAAACCTCCAAGGCTATGTCTCCAAGCCACTGCCCTGGACCCCTTTCCTTCTTCAAGGTCATAAAGGCTTATATAGAGCCCAGCTTTCTCGGGAGCACACCCAGAGAGCAAAGTGTTCAGAAGATCATAGAAGAAAGTAGCAAAAACACTTAGCCAGTAAAGCAAAGGACTTTCTTGGCAGTGACACTATGAGAAGGCCCTGAACAACTCAGCAGTGTTTCTGGAGTCCAGTAAAAATGGAGTCATTTGGGTGAGAAACAAAACCAAGCATAAAATGATAACCAAAAACCCAGGACATTATTAACAAGTTTTGAGAAAGGAGCTCCCTGTATTGCCCCCCAAGTCTCTGGCCCAGTAGGAAGTCCACTCACTTGTCCAAGCTTAAATAGAGGTCAAGATTGCTCTGGCAGGATTTCTTGTGATCTGCCAGCCTCTCCCTGGACCCGGTGTCCTTGCTGTGGCCCTGGCGGGTGCTCTCCCCATCCTGGTTGGTGTTGCTGGGGAGGCTTCTCCTGGCCCGAGTGAGGTGGTGGAAATCTAGCCAGGTCGGGGCTCTGTGCTGGTATGCCCCACTGCTTGGCAGCAGAGGGGGCAAAACCAGCAAGAGGAGGAATGCAAGTCCAGGCACCCAGAAGCAGCTGCCTCCCATTTCCTTGGCAGCCCTTGAGTCTGCAGGAATCTCTTTTAGTCAGGCAAGCTGGGACATTCACTGTTTTAAGCAATATAGGGGCTCTACTCCTTTAATCAAGTCTTTCATTTAATTAAGTAACAATGAGCCTCTACTAGTAGACCTGAACTAAAGGCAGAGTAGGACTGATAATACAGCATGGTGGAGCCCACACTACCTGTCAGGGTGTCTCCCTGACCCATAGAGACATAATGCCCTGTTTTTTGATGGACAGGGAGGTTGGCATGGCGACCCTGTGGTGGCTCACTGCAGCTCTGCTCACTGCCTGCCTACTGACATTCCCAGGCGGGAGTCAGGGCATCTCTGAAGGGGCTGTGAGGAGAACCTCCACTTTCCCTTATCCTGAGCCCTCACTGATGGCCATTAAATCCTCCAGGAAGATGAGTCTTGCAAACTCCCAGAGCTGCTGGGGTGGCTCAGAGAGGGACATCACTGTCGGTGGGGCTCATGGCTGGGAAACCAGAGTGCTTAATGGCCATTTGAGTGAACACTGATGTCTTCTAGGGGGTGGGAGGATCAAGAAGTTGAAGAAAGTGGTGCAATTTTGCTTGTGAAGGGGATTCCACTTATCCACTAATGTGAATCAACCACCCCAAACTTACTAAGTCAAAGTAAAGAACCACTTTATCATGCTCATAGTTGCATGGATCAGATATTGAGAAAGAACTGTACTGCATTGTTTGCTCCATGAATCATTGGAACCCCCTGAACTTTTAATTTTAGAAGCAGCACCCCATCTCTATTCTCCCCAAACCTTTGTAATATTTGATTGCAATAATAGGGATATGGGGATACATTGGAGGGATGTGAATCTGCAATCCAGACTCCCCCTATCAGTGTCTCCATAAGCAGGTGTTCAATATCTTTTATGAAATTTCTGTAAGAGATCTTGACCTCTTCTGTCAAGTGTCTTATCTGAATGCCTTATCATTTTGCTGCCATTGTTAATGATGTTTTAAAAATACGGTTTTTAAACTGTTTGTTGATAGCACAAAGAAATATGTTTAACCAGTTTGCTAAAATCTCTTGGTCTAAAACATTTTCTGTAAAATTGTGTTTCCATGAAAATCCATAAACCAAAAGCTCTGGCTCATTCTCCAGTGAAATGGCACTAGGTCTTTGTGGTGGTATTCTTCATTTGAAAGAACACTTCTAACATAAACTTAAGAATGATGTTTATTGAAGGCTTTTGGTAGCTACCCTCTTTCTGGTAAGACAATTTCCCTGGCACCCAGAGGGTGTGGGCAGCCATAAGTAAGATTTCTACAAAAACACAAGAGAGCTAGTTAATTTTGAATTTGAGATAAGCCATGAATGTATTTTTTTTGTGTAAATATATCCCATAAGGACATGTTTCCAGTGGACTGGCCCCTAGAAAAGGCCCTCCCCCAGAATGTAATCGTCTCCTAGGTTATCTCTGGCAGCCGCTGATGTCCCAGGCCCAGCATACATGCCCCTCTAAGCTCCAGTGCCCCGGTGCCCCTGACCTTGCTCAACTGAGCCTTATAGGATTTCGCAATCTGCTGCCTCTACTTATTGCGCCTCCGCGTGAGCACATCGGTGATGGCCTGCTTTTTGGTCCTTGCAGGGGTGCACAGTGTGAGCAGCCCCACTGCCCTGATGGGAGGGAGGTGCTGGGGAAGCCCAGAGAGGAGGGAGGGCAGCTGCTTGTTAGTTCAGTTATGGAGACCTGCACCTGCACACCCAAAAACCAGATGGCTTTCACGATGTAGACAAGACAGCTGGACAGAAAATCCATCCTTTCACGCGCCCTTCCACACACCACTGTAGAGGCAGAGCACAGGCCAAGACTCCAGTGCTGGAATGTGTGGACCCGATGGTCACCTGGTCAGGGCTGAGGGATCAGAAAACAGGGTGTGAGTGTCTGCCAGCAACCTGACCTCCCTGTCTCTGCTTTCTCATCTGAAAGTGGAGATAATAGTAAATCTGGGTTGGGAAGCATGCTTTCTAGTTTCTTCTAATGGTGCTTCTTCTTGTACCTATTGTCCATTCTGAGCCAGCTAGGGAGTAAACCCTCCAGGGTTAACATTAGGAGGGCTCTCTGGTCAGCCATGCAAACCCCAAGGACTCAGATCAGCACTTTCCTGCTCACAGCACACGGAATTTGGGTACTAGAGACTGAAGAATGGGCCGGCTGATGTGGAGAAGGGAAGTCTCACAGAACCTATTCAGGTGGTGCCCCATGAACACAGTTCAGTCCCTTGAAAATTCCATCTCCTCTGTACCAGATGCTATAGCAACATCATCCCATCCTAAATTCACAGTGGCAAGCAGATGCCCCAGTTTTGTGGGGCATACTATGAGGAAAAAAACCCATCCTTAGTGGAGTGAAGGTGCCTGCCCTGGGTGAACAGCATACCCAGGAGATGCCCCGGCCACTCCTCTATTACTTGGGCCCCTCCCCTCCACCCCCAGTTTTGGAGGATAAGTGTAGACCAGTGCTGGAGAAGGTGGGATGTGTGTGATTCTCTGCATGTGTGTGTGTAGGGGGGAGGGGTGGTTCTCATAAAGTTATATGGAGGTCCTGACTCCTTGGCTGTCCCTGACTTCCCCTCTTCAGGTCTGTGAGCAGGAGGGCCTGAAGGTTCAGAGTCACAGTGTTGCCAGGGCAAGCCATGGCTGCCATTCACCTATGCCTCCTCATGGCTTTCTAGAGAGACTTTGCATCCAGATCTGGGTTGAAGTGGGGCTTCCCTTCACTGACACACCTTATGTTCAATCTGCAAGACAACCCAGCCTGCTGAGAGTGTGACAGGGAAAGGATTGCGGGCTCCCAGCTACCTTGGTGTCCACCTGGGCAGGATGGACTGCATGTGTGCCCTGCAGG